CATCTTCAGTACGATGTTTTCTTTCTCCCATCTTTGAAGCAGAGACCTCAATCAGCCCAACCATAAGCTCTCCAACACTCTCGTTATGTTCCTCTAGATCTCTGACCTGAATCAACATTGTGGGAACAATTAATAGATCCTTTATGGGCTTAATACTTAGACTCACGCATCAGTAACAATTTTTTTTATAAATCCGCATTGAATTTGTGGATGACAAGATTCGAACCTGGGTTGCTCTGATACCATCTAAAATTAAGTCCCTCTTACTAGTACACCAAACACTCTGAAATTATGGTGATGGATCGAGGATTATAGTTTCATATTAACTCTAACACATGCCATAGTGTAGATAGTTGCATTGTCTCAGAGAGGTGTGTTAAGAAACCAAGAAGACAGACTATCGTCTAAGAGCTTGCAGCAATTAATTAGATATTAGCTGCATCACTGATCATTCCAATTTCCAAATGGTGGCAACATTAAACCCCTGAGTTATGTATTTGAACATTATATTAGATATTGTTGGTGATAAATTGATTACGATGGTATCATCAATAATATCATCAGCAATGTGTTAAATTTAGAATCATACTAAAAATGATGATGTCTCACGATTATTAATTAGGTTTCAACCAGTGATCTTACGATATACTTTTGAATAGGCTAATACAGGCTATTAATTTCTATCATATCGAGCGTGCAAGGAAATCTTTTGATAATTAAGTATGTTAACATCATTCTAATTACATTTTAAAATTATTTCAAGCGGTAACAACTGAATAGAGAAAGATGATAGGTTAAAAGATTTTACTGTCTTTCTTGTTGCATCTTTCTTTTAGACCGACCGTGCCTGTCGTATATCTTGTACATATTAGCAAAGGTTAAGCATTCGTAACTAAATGTACTTTATGCATCCAACTCGAGCTACTTATGAGATTATCAGATATATTAACACGCAATGTTAACGGACTCTGGTGATATCATGTTATGCGCATCAACATAGTACGGCTGCTGTCTACAGTGAGAAAATGTACCGATGAACCGCAGGAATTTGAGCATATTCCTTGGTAGTAGTTGATTCATCTTCGACAGTTGTTGGTGAAGAGATTGATTTACATCACTAGTCTTTTTCCATGCATGGGTTACCAACCTTCTTTAACTTCCCGCATGCAGCCTCCACCTGGTAATTTGATCGGATGCATGTCCTCTGATACCCCCCGTCTTTCCCTTTTTGCTACATATTGTTGTGGTTCATCACTGTCTGTAGTTTTTCCATGTGCTAGCTTGTTCCTTTCTTCAGCCGGTTATATATGCTCCACTTCTAATTGCCTGACTTTTTCAGAGCAGGCTTGAAAAGCTGTAGGAAACAAGAGGAGTCGAGCAAGATGAAACCTGTCGTTTTTTTCTGTATTTCGTTGAATTACTTGGGGGACAGGGTTTAGCTGAGGAGGTCAGCAGAGGGAGAGGTAATATTTGGCTCTTGAGGAGCGAGAGTAACCAGTCGAAACTAATGGTATATATGTACTGGAGGAGTGCAATTCTCCTCGTTGGACATTTTGTTTCTGTTTGAGGATGAAGAATGGATTTTTTTTTTATTTTAAATCTCTATTTCTGATGGAGTTTTTGGGCTGATGTACAGTTTTGTTGCTGTATGAGGGTTCATGGCCGTTTCCTGATTTCTGTTATGCAATTCTGTTTGGTTCTTGCACTTTGGTACGGAGGGGGGTTGTTGAGTTCAAAATTTTGAGATTCATCGAATGGCTAAAATTGTTTGGACGTTTTGGCTTGATTATTTTGGACATGCTAAGATTTGGTCGGCTATTTGAGCTCTGATTTGGTTTGAATTGATGTGTCAAGTATCTACAACATGAATCTATATTGTATATTAGAAATTTACAGGGACAGAAAATCAGCAGAGTTGGGTTGGTGATTACTTGTTGGCCAATTAGCTATAATGATTAGGTATTATTGAATGGTTGATGTTCTATTAAATTGTTGCACTTGATGTCATTCTTCTCTATTCTGTTATTTTTATTGTTTTGTAAAACTTCATAAAATTGATAAGAAAGGAAATCGTAAATAGTTTCATATTTCCTTCTCAAAACATCAAAAGAAGTTTCGAACATTTTACTCTAAAGCTTGATTATATTTTCTTTTCTTTTAGGGCCTGTTCGTTTGTTTTCAAAAAAGCAAGAAATGGAAATGGAAATGGTGGAAATCTCAAAATAATCCATTTCTTCTATTTCCATCCCTAAAACTCACCCACAACATCCAATAAAATATTATTTTCATCCAACAACTCATCCACATCATCTAATAAAATATTATTTTCATCTAACCACTCATCCACCACATCTAATAAAATATTATTTTCATCTAACAACTCATCCATCACATCTAATAAAATATTATTTTTATCCAAACATCACTCAACTCATCTCTTTTTATTATTTCAAATCACTCACATCATCGAATAAAATATTATAACAATTCACCCCATCTCATTAACATTTTATTTCTTCCATTTCATCCCAAAAAGTTGTGAAAACACATTTCTTAATCTTTCTTCACATCAACCAATAATACAATGACAACTCATCTCATCTCATTTCATTTCTTATTTTTAAGAATGAACCGAACAAAAGAAAACAAGAAAACTACAGGAAATAAGTTTCTTATAATTCATTTCCTTTTTTTTTTCGCCATCCGAACAACATCAAAACTAGTTTTCTTAAAAAATCACTCACATCATCCAATAATAATGTGACAACTCATCTCATCTCATCTCCATTTCTTTGATTTCCTTTTTTTTAGCCAACCGAACACTCCAAAACAATTCTTCATTTTCCATTTCTTTGATTTCCCATTTTTTTTTAAGGCAAACGAACAGGAGCTGAAATAGATTTACAAGCGCGAATGTTACAACAAAATCTCTATTTCGTAGAGAAAAAACCTCTAGCAAACAAATTTGGCTGCAACAAATATTGTAAATCCTTCCATTACCTAATAAAAAAACTAAAAACTAACGCTACGTTTGTTTTTTATCCTAAGACTAGGGGGTATTATAACCTATAAACTATAGTCCTCCAACTATGATGAAACTATTCTAACTAGTCCAATGTTCGTTTTCCCACAGACTAAAATTCGGACTAATTTTAAATAGTCCACACTAGTGTTTGTTTTTAGTGAAATTATAATCATTGGGACTAATATCATAACTAACATGATATCGTAACTAACATGACATTTTTCACCATCAAGTCAACTAGTACGGTTTTGATGCATAAGCTTGAAAAAATTCAAAATTGGAGCATGTCATCTAAAAATGTCAATTTTTACCCTCAAATCAACTAATGTATTGCTTACATATCTACATTGATTCAACTATAGTCCAAATAAACAAAAATTTACTTTTTTGAAAATATTTTACTTGCATTCATACAGATTGAAAATTGAAACATTGTCTTCAGGAGATCCTAGAATATCAACCTTAACTAAAAAATGGAATCAAAAGTGAACAAAATTTAAGAACATGTTATGATTCACTAGTTCTCCTCTTTGGACAAACAAACTAGCACCATGCATCAATTGGTAGGGTAGTTTCTTCATGGAAAGAATGAAGCTCCAAAAAAAAAAAGATTTGATAGAACAAATCTTAGAAAGAACTCGGTAGAATTAAAATGATGAGTTTTTTGTCACAAAATCTTAGTTCTCATAGATGATTAGTACCTGGATTATAAAGGTGGGAGAGGGTGAGCTTATGATAGTCTCTCGTTTGAGTATTAAGTAGTCCCTCCTTATAAATAGTCTGGTTCAGATAAAAAAGAGATAAAAATGTAGATCCAGACTTTTTTAAATAGCACATCACTATTAGAAAAACCAATATAGTCAGGAGCGGATCCAAATATGGCAAAGTGGTGTCACGTGACATCACTTTTGGTATGCAAAGCAACATGTAAAAAAAAGGGGTTATTTTTTTTATTTATTATAAACCAAAGGTTTTGCCCAATTTACAACACGCATAGTTATATATGCTCTCATGCAAATACAGTTTATTTACCTATACACCGGCACAAAGCATAGAATTCAGAGTGTATATAGGTACGTACTTTAAGGTGTATGGCGCGCACTCTAACGTATGTAGTTATACACTTTGTATTCTATACTTTGTGTTTAGGTGTAAACAAACTTTGTGTTTGGATGTGTGAGGATAGGCCTGTCCAAAAAGCCCGCCGGCCCGGGCCCGGGCCCGGATTTCCTTTTTTTTAGCCAACCGAACACTCCAAAACAATTCTTCATTTTCCATTTCTTTGATTTCCCATTTTTTTTTAAGGCAAACGAACAGGAGTTGGCAAACGAACAGGAGAAATGTACACAGAAAAACACTGAGGGGAAAAAAAGGCAAAATAAGCCAAAAGATCTATGAATTTAATTTAACCTGAAAAATTATTTTAAGAAACATTCCATTCAATTAGAAGAATTTCCGTACATAGATGATATATTATTTTATGAAAAATTCTTTAAGGACCCAAAATATGGGACCAATAAAGGGGACAAGTGAGGTGTCCCCCTCCTATTGGATAATGAATTGGTCATCATTATTATCCAATAGTAGCAAAGCTCTTTCGTCAATTGAGTATTGATGCGCTTGCCCCTCATGCTGACACGCGTTAATCTTACACGGTTGACAGCTGTCGAGCGGTT